GACGTCCACTCAGAAACCCAATTATAAAGACGGTAATCATAAAGACCACAGATGGATAAATCTATAACGAAGGGAAGAAAACAGCCTAAAGGCTGAGAATACCCAAAATCAGAACGCCTCTCCCTCTACAGGGGATCACAGTTCCTCATCAGCAACGGAACAAGGCCTGATGGAGAAAGACTGTGTTCCATTAGCGGAAGCTGGCTTTAAAAAGTGGATGATAAGAAACTTCTGGGAATTAAAAGAACTTGTTTTAACCCAATGCAAAGAAACTAAGAACTTTGAAAAAAGGTTTGAAGAAATGTTAACAATAACACACAATTTAGAGAGGAATATAAGTGAATTAATGGAGCTGAAAAATACAACACGAGAACTTCGCGAACTATGCACAAGTTTTAACAGCCGAATTGATCAAGCAGAAGAAAAGATATCAGAGGTCGAAGACCAACTTCATGAAATAAAACAAAAAGACAAGATTAGAGAAAAAAGGATAAAAAAGAACGAGCAAAGTCTCCAAGAAATATGGGACTATGTGAAAAGACCTAATCTACGCTTGATAGGTGTACCTGAATGTGACGAATAGAATCAATCCAAGCTGGAAAATACACTTCAGGATATTATTCAGGAAAACTTTCCCAACCTAGCAAGGCAGGACAATATTCAACTCCAGGAAATACAGAGAACACCACTAAAATATTCCTCTAGAAGACCAACCTCAAGGCACATAATCGCCAGATTCACCAGGGTTGAAATGAAAGAGAAAATACTGAGGGCAGCCAGAGAGAAAGGTCAGGTTACCCATAAAGGGAAGCCTATCAGACTCACAGCAGATCTCTCAGCAGAAACCCTACAAGCCAGAAGAGAGTGGGGGCCAATATTCAACATCCTTAAAGAAAAAAACTTTCTTTTTTTTTTTTTTTTTTTTTTTTTTTTTTTTTTTTTTTTTTTTGAGACAGAGTTTCACTCTTGTTACCCAGGCTGGAGTGCAATGGCGCGATCTCGGCTCACCGCAACCTCCGTCTCCTGGGTTCAGGCAATTCTCCTGCCTCAGCCTCCTGAGTCGCTGGGACTACAGGGACGCGCCACCATGCCCAGCTAATTTTTTTGTAGTTTTAGTAGAGACGGGGTTTCACCATGTTGACCAGGATGGTCTCGATCTCTTGACCTCGTGATCCACCCGCCTCGGCCTCCCAAAGTGCTGGGATTACAGGCTTGAGCCACCGCGCCCAGCCCAAGAAAAAAACTTTCAACCCAGAATTTTACATCCAGCCAAACTAAGCTTCACAAGCGAAGGAAAAATAAAATCTTTTGTGAACAAGCAAGCACTCAGAGATTTCATCACCACCAGGCCTGCTTTACAAGAGCTTCTGAAAGAACCACTACAAATAGAAAGGAACAACCAGTATCAACCTTTCTAAAAAAAATACCAAAAAATAAAGAACATCAACATAATTAAGAAATTGCATCAACTAATGGGCAAAACAGCCAGCTAACATTAAATGACAGTATCAAACACACATATATTGTTATTAATTCTAAATTTAAATCGACTAAATCCCCCAATCCAAAGACACAGACAGGCAAAAAAAGCCAAGACCCATTGGTATGCTACATCCGGATCCATCTCACATGCAAGGATACATAAAGACTCAAAACAAAGGGATGGTGAAAAATTTACCAACCAAATGGAGAGCTAAAATAAATAAGTAGAAAGCAGGAGTCGCAATTTTTGCTGATAAAATAGATTTCAAAGCAACAAAGATCAAAAGAAGCAAAGAAGGATATTACATAAAGATAAAAGGATCAATGTAACAAGAAGAGCTAAAGATTACCCAATACAGAAATACCCAGATATATAAGACTTACAAAGAGACTTGGACCCCCACACAATAATAGCGGGAGACTTCAACATCAATATTAGATAGATCAATGAGACAGAATGTTAACATCGATATCCAGGACTTGAACTCAGATCTGGAACAAGTAGACTTAATTAACATTCATAGAACTCTCCACTTTAAATACACAAAATATACACTCTTATCAGTACTACATCACACGTATTTACAGGTTTAAATGAAATATTGGTTGGCTGTTTGTTAATTATTTTCTTCCCTCATTTTTTTTTTTTATGTCTCTATTATTAAACACAATTACAGGCATACCCTGTTTTAGACTGCATTCTAGCCCGGGCAATAAAGCAACACCCCTGTTCTCTCTCCCTCTTCCTCTTCCTCTTCCTTCCTTTCCTTTATTCTTTTTTTTTTTTATTCTTTTTCTTTCTTTCTCTCGTTCTTAAAAACAAAAAAAACAAAAAACAACAACAACAACCAAGGGAGCAGAACTACTAGCACAGCTGCTCGGACTGGATGTGAGCAAGAACAAACTGTGATTCAATCCATGGAAACGGTGGAGACTTCTTGGTCTTTGCCACCAACCTTGCCCTTGGCTAATTCATCTTACAATCCAGGAAGCTGGGTTTAGAAGGATATGGTCCCAGTTTAGTGACAAAAGACTGAGGTGCACTTGTGGGAACCACAGATGTTGCCCAATGTGTTGTGTTCACTCAGGAAAGAGAGCTTCAGCATCCCCAGCCATGGGTATGTCCCTACTCCATGAACGTAAATTTAGAGGGACCCTCCATATCATATCTCTAGCACCTAGAGCAGTGCCTGGAGCAGAGTAGGGCTCAGGCAGTATGTGCTGAATGGAAAAACAAATCAATGAATACAAGCCAGGCACAGTGGCTAATGCCTGTAATCCCAGCGCTTTGGGAGTCTGAAGTGGGTGGATCACTTGAAGCCAGGAGTTTGTGACCAGTCTGGCCAACATGACCAAACCCTGTTTTACTAAAAATACAAAACGTGGCCGGGCGCAGTGGCTCTCGCCTTAATCCCAGCACTTTGGGAGGCCGAGGCGGGCGGATCACGAGGTCAAGAGATCGAGACCATCCTGGCCAACATGGTGAAACCCCATCTCTACTAAAAATACAAAAAAATTAGCTGGGCGTGGTGGCGCACGCCTGTGGTCCAGCTACTCGGGAGGCTGAGGCAGGAGAATTGCTTGAACCCGGGAGGCGGAGGTTGTGGTGAGCCAAGGTCGCGCCACTGCACTCCAGCCTGGTGCCTGGTGACAGAGTAAGACTCTGTCTCAAAAAAAAAAATAATAATAATACAAAACATAGCCAGGCATGTATGGTGGCATACACCGGTAATCCCAGCTACTTGGGAGGTTGAAGCACAAGAATCACTTGAACCCAAGAGGCAGATGTTGCAGTGAGCTGAGATTGCACCACTGTCCTCCAGCCTGGGCAACAAGACTCTGTCTCAGAAAAAAAAAAATACAAACATATTCACAATATACACATCCCATGCATAAGTGCTAGAAACACTCAGTTATAGACAAGCATATACAATGCAGATACTTAAGCACACAAACACACACTTTTACACAATACACACCTGTGCCCACATTACACACATCCATACCCAAACTGAAGACACACACAAACACATGCATATATATACAAAGATGTTATGGGCAACATATATGATAAAGATATGCACAAACACACACCTACTCACCCTCATACACAAGCACAGTGACCCTCCACAATGACCCTGGGCCCAGCAAGGAGTTTGTCTACCCTAAGAACCCCAGCTTGTTGAAGCTCGTCAGAATGTTCCTTGCAGACCCTGCTGAGCCAGCTGGTGACTGGCCCCTGCCTCCTGAACCTCCAGGCTTAGGGCTGGCCAGGCAGGGAGGCCGCATCTCTGGCAGCCCCTCGTGGGTGGGCAGGCAGGCAGCGGACGCAGAGGTCACTGGGGTGAGAGCTGGGGCTGCCCTGGCCTCCCTGCTCCTGGCTGGAATGTGAGCTCTAGTGGCCACTTCTCAGGCCTCCCTCCTCCCCCACAGCCACCCACCAGCCCCAGGCCCAGCCAACTCGTGACTCCCAATCCTGCCAGGTTCCTGCAGCCTGGGAGCTGGACACAGAAGGCAGTGAGAGGGGTGATGGTAAAGAAAGATCCAGAACTAAGGGAGGCACACACAAACGCACAGAGAGAGGCACAGTCTTCACACACAGAGACAGACATACACACGCAGAGAGAGGCAGGCAGGCAGACTCACAGGCCCACTGAAAGATACACATTCAGACACTTCCAGACACACCCAGACACACAGCGGACACGTACAATCACACAAGCATATAGAGGTACGGAGAGACCTGACCCCACACAGAGCGGTATCTGTATGTACAGTAGTTACACGCAGACACTCAGACCACACAGAGGCTCGGACACACAGCACACGTGGGTATTCACAGACTCGCAAATGCCCAAGCACATGCGCAGACGCACACGGACCCCCGCGCAGCGAAACAGTTCCTCCACCACCAGGGACCAGGAGGAGATACCTAGGTGAGGCCACTCTCCACCCCAGGGGGCTGGCCCTGCGGGGAGGGCCTGAGAAGACTGTTTCCCAAGAAGGCAACAGGCCTGATTCTCCAGCCAGGTGCCCTGAGGGGTTTCCCGTGGGCGGCCCACGGTGTCAGTGCCTGGCTAGGAAGATGGTGGGTCGGGTGAGAGACGGTTCTGGAGTCACGTAGGGTTGGGTTTTGTCTCTGCCAATTCCTCGGACACGCAGGCGCGCACACACACACAACATACACACAATACACAACACACACACACTTTCCAAGAATGCCTATGCCCATTAGACATATGCAGGCAGGGGCCCTCTCGGACACTCGGTTTCTTCATCTATATAATGGGGCTAGGAATCCCTCGGCCCCCAGGGGCGTGGGCACGGCTGCCTTCCCAGGGATCCGGGACTGCCCTTCCTGCAGAGGCCGCTAGATCATGAGCCTTGACGGCTGGCGCTGGGCTCCACACCTGGATGCCTCTATCCCAGGTGGCGGCCCCCAGAGCCGGAGCGGGGCTGTGGGCCCTGTGGGCGGGCGCAGCGCGGCCCGGGGAGCTGCGGGCTGGGCTCGGCGAGGCGTCCGGACCTGGCCAGCGCCCCTCGCCCGCACTGCGGGCTCCCGCGCAGCCGGCGGGCAGGGCGCTCCGGCAACTCGGCTCGCGAACCTTGTCTGCGGTGGGCGGGGCCGGCCGGGAGCCCCGCCCCGGCTCAGCCCCTGAAACCCAGGCGCGGACCGGCTGCAGTCCCAGAAGAGAGCTGCTGTCTGCGGAGGAAGCTGCATCTTCGGACGGCCGCCCAGCCACGGGAGGACGTGGGGTGGCACTGGGCGCCAGACGGACCCTCCCCGGGACCCGCCTGCCCTTTGGCGCTCCGCCCCGCCGGGCCGCTCCCCGTCGGGTTCCCCAGCCACAGCCTTACCTGCGGGCTCTCGACTCTCCCCGGCTTCCAGAAGATGCTGGAACCACCGGCCGGGGCCTCGGGGCAGCAGTGAGGGGGGCATCCAGCCCCCTACTCAGCTCTTCTCGTCCTGTGCCAGGGGCTCCCCGGGGGATGAGCGTGGTGGTTTTCCCTCGGAGCCCCCTGGCTCGGGACGTCTGAGAAGATGCCGGCCATGAGGCTATTCCCTTGCTTCCTGCAGCTCCTGGCCGGGCTGGCGCTGCCTGCTGTGCCCCCCCAGGTAAGAGCTATCCCCACCTAGCCCGGCACCCCTGATCTCCCCACCCCAATACTGCAAGGGGACTCTGAAATCACAGACCCACTCCAGGGAGCAGCAACTCCAAGGATGTCCACACACTTCCTAAAGGCCAGGCTGCAGTTCTTTCCTTTGGGAAGAGATCTCAGGCTGGCTGCCCCCCAGGTCCTGGGGGCTGTCTTGGTGGGGGCAGGGAAGCCACAGGGAGGGAGGGAGGGAGGTTTCCTGTCTGGCCCCTGGAGCCGTGGTGGCTTTGCTAAAAGCATCTGTCCACTAATCCCAGGCGGGTCCCTGGCCTTGTGGTCAGGGTCGAGGCCCCATGGCCAGCCAGGCGTCCCCAGGACCTCTGACCTGGCCTGGTGGGGGTGGTGGGGGAACCGGCTGAAGAGTCTGATGGTGGGGAGGCTGGGCCCTCCCCCCAGCAGGGCTCAGGACTGAGCTGTGGGCTCCTGGGTGGGCCAGGGACGAGACAGGGGGTCCCGCTGTGCCTTCTCTCCTGGGTGGGTGGCCGGAGGTCCTGAGTGCAGGGCCTGGGGAAGTGAGCAGGGCCCTTTTCCCAGGAGCCGGGTGAGTCTGGCTGAGAGCCAGCTTGGGCAGCGAAATCCTGACAAAGCCAATGAGCTCCCTTCCCACTGTGTTGTCCGGCTGCCCTGGGAGTCCCCAGCCCCAGCCCAAGAGTAGGAGTGGGCTGGGCAATCCCTGAGGAGCCCGAGCAGCCCAGCCACCCGACTGCCTGCTGCAGGGCTGGCCAGAGGTGTAACGTTACCGGCTGGCTGCACCGGCTCATGGCGCCGCCCGCTCCAGCCCCTCAGCTCCCACCAGCTGATCACCTCCCCCTGGGCTCTGGCACCCAGCCAAGGCGGGCGGTGCAGGGCCCAGCAGGGTTGGCCTGGGGGCTGGGTAGGGGGGAGACCCGCAGGACTGGAAGATCTTGAGGACACAGCAGACCAAGGATCTCTAAGAGCTTCTAGCCTCCATCCTTTCCCAAATGAGGAAAACTGAGGCTAGAGAGGGGGTGGGACCTTACCTACCCAGGGCTCAGTGGGTTTTTAGTTGTACTCAAGCTGCCCTGAGACAGGGCGGAGCATGTGTGGCAAGTGGGAAGGAACCCAGAGGGGCCCCTAGCTTCTTGCCATCACACTTGGCTCAAGAGTGCAGAGCCCCAAGGTGTACCCGGCTCATCTCTGCACCTTTCTGTCCACAGCAATGGGCCTTGTCTGCTGGGAATGGCTCGTCAGAGGTGGAAGGTAAGCTGGCCAGACTGGCGGTATGCGTGCTCCCCAAGCCTCTCTCTTCCTTCCTTTAAAGCCAGGTGTGGCATGAAGTGTGGGTGCAGGAGGATAAAAGTTGGGGAGAGCTTACAAGCTAGACATCCTGGCTGATAACATTGGCCCAGAGACTGGAGAGGCATGGGCCGGGGTCACCAGCATACAGAGAGTGGGGCTGGGGCCAGGATAGCTAGCGTTCATCCAGCGGGCTCAGAGCCCTTCTCCAGCATGATTTCAGGGTATGGATGGGGTCTTGGAGGACAGGGTGGGTAGTGAGTGCCAGAGGCCAGAATGGGATCTGGGAGCTGGATGCAGTGGGCAGTCAAGAGGATCAGGGACACGGGAGGGGCTCTCCGCAGCAGCCCAGCCCTGGAGGAACTGCTGGGATCTGACCATGCCTTTCCATTGATTATAAACAGACAGAACATGAGTTGCACCCTCCCTGGCCCCTCCACTCCCTGCCCTAGTTGCATCAAGAGGGAATCTTCAAAGTGCAACGAGACGTTTGCCAAAGAGACATACGTGCAGAAGGCAAGAGGCCCATGCCAGGCCCCCTGCCTCGCTCCTCCCTTCCTGCCTCGCTAAGACGTGCAGAGCGGCCACACACCACCTCTGAGGCTTCCCATGTGCCATGGGAGAGGGGGCGTGTAGGGACATGCACACGCACACGCGTGATAGCCATCTGCGTGCTGGGAACACCCTCTGCTGGCCTGCCTGCCTGGCAGCCAGCCTCTCCTGGGCCTGGCCATCCTCTCACACCTAAGGCTCAGGCCCCTAGACCCCTGAGCAGGTCGAGGAGGCAGCTGCCCTTGACTTCACTGATGCCTCCCTTACTGTGTCTCTGGAACCGGCACAATATTCTGCTCCTTGGGATTTGGGGAAGGACCCATCCCCTACCACCACACCATGCCCTTTTCAGTGCTTTTGGTGTAGGTCAGGCCACAGCTACCGTAGATGCTCAGTTTCCTCATCTGTAAAATGGGAACCTTAGACTATGTGATGTCTATGGTTTCTTCTTTTTCCAAGATTGGAAAAGGGACCTATTCTCTGACTCCAGGGAGGAGAAATGGGTGTACATACCACCCAGGATTCAAGGTGAGGAAGCCTGGAAGTGTAGACTCGTTAGGTCCTCTCTCCGGTTGCACCCGTCAGTCAGGGAGCCTGCATTCTGACCAGGAGAAGCACAGTGAGCTTTGCATTCCAGCTCTCAAAATCTGAAAATGTCATCCCCTCCAGAGCAAAAGACAGCATGGCCAGCCGTGGGAGTTGATTGTTACTATTCAGGGTAACAGTGCTGGGCATTTTCTGTCGTTCTGTCCTGACCACAGGCTGTGAGTAGGAAGGCGCTGTGCTCCATGTTTTACAGACGCAGGACCTGAGGCTCAGAGAGGCCCTGGGGGTCGCCCCAAGCCTCGTGTCTAAGAGTGGCAGAACCAGGTTCTCCCAATAGCTCCGTGGCTGAGTGGGCATGAGCAGGGTGTCCCTTGTGCCAAGCCATCTGTGTGCCCTGCCAGGGACCATGGAGAGGACACCTGTGGACTTGGGCTGGTCACCAGTGGCTCTGCCCAGCCCTGTGGTCCCTCCCCACTGCCCTCCATAGAAACTTGCTCTCAGGATGAAGCATTCCCTTCTTGGGTATCCCCATCCCAGGTGGTAGATAGGCAGGTGGGAGGCTCACCCACAAGGCTGGTGAGAGAGCTGAGGGCCCACTCATGGCCCCAGGGAGCCCTGGGGGACTGCCCAGCCCTGGCAGTGCCTGAGGGGGCCATAGCTTCCCATTGCTCTCACCCTCACCCCCATCTGGAACAGGTCTGGGGCCAGCGGAAGTGCTCCCGGGGACAGCTGAGCAGAGCTCTTTCCTGAGGGACACATCTGGGAGCGGTGGCTGCACTCCCTCAGCCTGGCCCCTCACCCAGCCCCTTTGTTTCTCCCACCCACCCATACGGGGCCTTGGGATGAACTGCCCTCTTTCCTGGTGGCTACCGGGTAAACCAGGCTCCAGCCCACCTCCTTCTCTGCCCTCCCCCAACACGGTTCAGTCACAGCCTGGAAAGTGGCAGATTCCAGGGTTTCAGGGCCCCAAGCCTGCATGGTGGGACGTGGGGTGAGGAAAGGAAATCCCTTCTTCTGCCGCCGGGGCCCAGCAGCTCTGCCAAAGGTGGCCATGACCCCACAGTCCAGCTGGGTGGGCGTCTGTTCGCAGGATGGGAGGGGGCTAGGGTGCCCCTTCTCTGCTGCTGTCGCCTCCCTGACGGCTGGACCCAGGGCAGGAACCTGACTCTTCTGTGGTGCTTTTGCAGCTCGTTATTTACGTTTTCCAAGGTGGAGATTAAACGTTCAGAGTTACGTAGCACTCATGAAGATTTTAAACTAAACACACAGCTCAAGGAGCTGGTGATAGGGAGGTGCTCTCTGATCCTGGATTGCGAAGGCAGGCTTCCCTGCACTTTGGGCGCCTTTGGGGAGAGAGGCCTTGTTTCCCACTGGGTTCCAGAGCAGTATCCAGTGGCGTGGAGAGGTAGAGTCAGGGAGGCCTATGGACTCCCCCCACTGCCAGCCCCTAGCCCAGCCCTAGTGTCCTTTAAGCAGAGCAAGGCAGAAGGAGAACAGACAAGCAGATAAGCACCATTTATTGCCTCTGAGTGCCTAGCCAGCTCCATGAGGACACATCACCTCTGGGTATTTTCCACCAGCTTGCAGCCTTTCCCCAGGGCCTCTGCTAGGACTGAAGTTTATTTTTCTTCTGAGATTACCAGGAGGCTCATGTCCTCACAGGCTCAGCAGAATGGACTTTGGCCCCTTCTGCCTCCTAGGCAGAGGCATGGAAGATGTGAGGGGTTGCTGGGAGAGGCCGTTGTTCCATGGGGAGGCTGCAGGGCCCCCGGTGAGCCAGCTCCCCATTCTTCCCCACCAGCTGACAATGACCATCAGATGCAGAGCAGGATGACCCAGGCCCGGGCTGTTTCTCTGTCCATGCTCTCGGGGCTGGGCTGGATTGCAGGCACTGATTCACAGGCGGCTGGTCTATGAAAGACCATAGCAACCATTTATTCCCAACCTTCTTTTTCCCCAGCCGAGGAAACTGATCTACCCAGAAAGGTTAAGTGATCTCCCCAAGATCACACAGCCAGTGTAGGGCCAGGACTGGAAGCCAGGTCTCTGACTCTGGCCACTCTCCCTGTGAGCCTCTATTTGGGGCCTGACCCCAGGCCTTCCCCTGAAAGAGCAGCATCTTTTGAGGAATTTGAGATCAGCCCCCAAAAGATCCTATTCACAATCCCCAGGACATCATGGGGGTCAGGGATGTCCCGGATGACCCTCAATGAATTGTCATCTAATCAACCAGGAATGACTTAGCCTGTGTTTACGGGAGCATCCATCTCTGTCCTCACAGAGCCTCGAGCTGGTTATAAAGGAGATAAGAGCCACCAATGACGGAGATAAGGCAACCCCTCAGGGCCAAGCAGTGCTCAAGAGAGGCTCATCTGTGCACACTGAAACAGCTGGGGAGGGCTTCAGCGAGGAGGTGGAGAGGCGGGCCTTGGAAAATGGAGGGTGGGCTTTTCTGGATAGAAATGAGAGGAGGGGAAAGAACAGCAGCTGTAGAGGCTGCAGAGTGCACAAGCCCAGAGCTGGGAATGGACGTGGTGCTGCCGTGTCTCAGTGTGAGCGCCACTTGGACTAAATGGAGAGGGGGGTCGGGCCACATTGCTAGATGCGGTCTTGATCACCAGGCAGAGGAGCTGGCAGAGTGGGGCAGAAAATTAGGGAGCCATGGAAGGTGTTTGAGCAAAGGAATAGGGAAGGCCAACCCTCCCTGCGTGACTCCAGAAATCACTGTTTCCTGCAAGTTCTCCAAGGTGGAGGAATTACCCGGTGGGGCTTGAGAAAGATTGAGAGGGCCTGGGCAGCTTCTGGGGCTACACTTCTTGAAGCTCCAGGGAGCCAAAGCGGATATGGGTGCCTGAGCTGAGGACAGAGCAGAGCTTGGGCCTTGAGAGAGTCTGTTCCATGGGGATTTCCATCCAGCAGATGAGCTGAGGAGCCCGCAGGCATTCCGAAGGCATCACATCAGAAGTTCAGAGTTGAGGGAACTCAGATGGGGCTAGGGGCTGAACCTGAAAGGCCAGCAGGGCCTGGGGAGCCAAGTCCGGGGCTTCAAGGGGCAGTTCTCTGCTGGCCTGACCCAGCCTCCCTGCCTCCTCGCAGTGGTGCCCTTCCAGGAAGTGTGGGGCCGCAGCTACTGCCGGGCGCTGGAGAGGCTGGTGGACATCGTTTCCGAGTACCCCAGTGAGGTGGAGCACATGTTCAGCCCGTCCTGCGTCTCCCTGCTGCGCTGCACTGGCTGCTGCGGTGATGAGAACCTGCACTGTGTGCCGGTGGAGACGGTCAACGTCACCATGCAGGTAGGTCCACACCCTGCCCAGGGGGCCACTGGATCTGCCCCTGGAAGGGACCTGGAGAGGGAAGGAGAGAGGCCAAGGTCCCAGGACTGGAACCTGATTCCCAGGCCAGTGCTCCTACTACCCCAGACCCCGAACCCCCTGATGGCTCTGAGCCCACTCACCTCTACCCCCACCAGCTTTCTCAGCCTCACGCTGAGCCCTATCTCAAGACTCGGGGTGTCTAGTTAAAGCTGGAAAGAAATCTGCCTAGATTAAAGTCCCCATTTACACAAGGAGCATTTGGTGCCTTTTCAAGCAAGCACAATTAACATGTCACACACGCAGTGGTTTATTGAGCACTCACTGAGTAATGCCGAGCACTGTCCTAGGCATGCCACAAGTGGTATGTCATTCAGTCCTTCAAGGCTGGCATCATTCCCATTTCACAGTTGGGGAACTCAAGGCTCAGAGATGTTATTTCACTTGTTCAGCGGGCAAAGGATTCAAGATCTGAACACGGATCTCTGACTCCAGAACATGGGCCCCCTTCCTGTGCTATTGCTGTTCTAGTTTCCCCTGCATAGAGAGGGACAGGGGCCTCCCTCAGATCCCCATGCAGGTAGGAGAGCTGTTTGCCCCACGCTTAGAGTGGAATGAGGGCCGTAGTCCACAGGCTGGCAGGAAACAGAGTTGGGTTCTCCTTACAAAGAGAGGAGAGTGCCGGAAACTCACCGGCCACTCCCCAATCCAGGCATCCTCTTTCTTCCTCAGCTCCTAAAGATCAGCTCTGGGGACCGGCCATCCTACGTGGAGCTGACGTTCTCTCAGCACGTGCGCTGCCAGTGCCGGTAGGTCTCCGGGGTGGGGTGGGTAGCAGGGAAAGGCTCCCATGCCCTTGGCAGCCTCAGCAAAGATGGGTCCCTGGGCAGAGGCAAAGGCCGCCTATGCCTGCTGCAGGCTGCACTTTTTTCCAGGCTGAGGGAGACCAAGAGAGCAGGACCAGGGGTGGCTGCCATTCATTTCACACCCCCACCAGCCAGTTTTGCCAAGGGAGCTGGTCCCAGCAGCTGGGATACAGCTGTTTAGATACCACAAGGGAAGAGAGAGCGTGGATCCCTCCCAGACTCACAGGGGTTCAGTGCGTGTCGTTCCCCTTCCCTGGGGACCACAGTTAGCTGCCACGGGCCTCTGGAAGAAGTGCCTGGAGGCAGAGACATCGCAAGTCTGGACTTAGTTCTGGGCTCAGCTGTGCACCCACAGGAGGGGGCAAACTGGGCTCAGAAGCAGCATGAAGGACAAGCTCAGGTAGAAAACGGGCGGATGAAGGGTGGCACTGCGATTTCCTTGATGTCGCAGCATTCCCACTACGCCCCCTCCCCTTCTGACTAGCACCAGTCTTGCTGCCTTGTGCGCAGGGCACTTGGAACATTGGTTAGCAGGAGCAACAGGCCTGGCACTGCCAACCAAGTTCAGGGAAGAGAGGAATGGGCTGAGCCACTGCTCCTGGCACCACTGGGCCATGGAGATGAAGGCACCAGACTAGAAGTCCAGAACCCTAGCCAGGGCGGGAGGAGGGAAGACTACCACTTACTGTGTACCCGTTCTGTGCCTAGGCCCACAGGAGGCACTTGAATGTTTCTCATTTAGTCACATACATTTATTGAGCACCTACTGCATGCCAGGCACTGTCTTAGATGCTTGGGATGCAGTGGTGAGCAAGGTCCCTGCTCTCCTAACAACCTTGGGAGGTAGACGCTATTGTCATCCCCATTTTATAGATGAGAAAATCAAGGCTCAATAGTTTCATGACTGACCACAGCTAGTGAGTGTGGGAGGAGGGATTCTGAGCCCTGACCTAGCTCCTAAGCCTTCGTTTTTCAGGCTACCTCTCATGGCCAAGACCACGCTCTCTAATAGCCTCCAGGCTTGGCCTTGGCTCCTGGGCAGGGCTATGGCTGCCCTTTTGGACCTGAGCCCAGGATCTAGCCCTTCTTCACCGTGACAGTGTTGGGGCCCTGCCTCAGCCTGTTTCCCCCCACCCCCTCCAAGCTAGAGCTTAGCCATATAACAATAGCTCGGTAATGAACCCTCCTGGGCACAATGCTGGGTGGTGACCCAAAGCTACCTTCTACATCCCCTTTACTCTGACAGCCACTCTTTGGGGACAGGCAGATGAAGAGACTGAGGTTCCAAGAGTGTGGAGCTTCACTTGCCCAATATGGAGAGGTACAACCAGACAGTCCCAAGAGGCCCTGGTACCTTGCCCTGGCTCCCAAGGGAGGAAGCAGCCGAGGGCAGCATGCCCTGGTCCCAAAGCTGACTGGTACCAAGCTGCCCCATGCCTCCACCCCCCGTTCCCCAGGGGGAGACTGTGGCCAGGCAACAGGGACACCTTTCTTCTTGCTTCTGGGCCAACAGCCACAGCCCTGGGAGGCAGAGACCAGAAATGCCTGGTGACTTCAGGGCTGATGCTCCCTCCCCACCTCCCACCCCGTGGCTCACTCCCCGTGTTGTTCTGGGTGGGGTAGGGGCTGTGCCCTGACAGGCAGCCAGTCCACTGCCTTGCCACCATCTCTTATCCTTGAGGAAATTCCCAGAATGCACCCTGGAAGGAAGGGGGAAAAGCGGACAAAGTGAGAAAGGAAAAGCAGCAGAGAACAGATAGAAACGACTCCAGATTTGATGTCAAGAGGCTGAGGAGCGCAGAAGCGAGTGGCAGGGGTCCCCAGGAGGTTGATTTGTCCCTCTCGTGCCTGGAGCGGGAGCCAAGTCCGGAGGCTCCAGCCACCTCTCTCTTGCCAGCTCCATGCTACCCCCTAGTGGTGTCAGTGTCAGCTGCAGGATGTTGGAGGGGACAGGTCTGGGAGGCAGGGAGCCCCACTTGCTGCTTTTCTAACGTTCCTCTGCCCCTCTCTCTGTCTGTTTCCCTAGGCCTCTGCGGGAGAAGATGAAGCCAGAAAGGTAAGTGGCTTAGCTGGGGCTCGGGGCTATCTCGGGCCTGCCAGCCTCTGTCCTAGCATGGGGGCCCCCAGCCACCTTGTCCTGACGCTTTTGGCTTATTGCAGGAGGAGACCCAAGGGCAGGGGGAAGAGGAGGAGAGAGAAGCAGAGACCCACAGACTGCCACCTGTGAGTGCGCGGGGTCCCAGGGATGGCAAGGAGGCTGGGCCCAAGGGGAGCCCCACCCTGCCGCCAGGGTTAGGTCGGGGAGGGGGAGAGGCAAGATTGAGGCCAGTCTTGGGAGCAGAACAGCAGCCGGGCCTCCTCAAGACTCTAGGGCCCCGGAAGCATCAGGATCTTGGTTTTTGTTCCGGCTTAGCCCTAGGTTTCCATTGACCTTGAACAAACCATTTCACCTTTCTCAGTGTCAAATGAAGGGCAGGAGGTCCAGCAAACATTCAGTCACTCTACAAACATTTACCGAGCACTTACTGTGTGCCAAGTACCTCTGTGAGCAAACAAAGAGAGTTCCTGCACTTTAGTGTTTACCTTCTAGTGATGAAAAGTCTGTCATCAGCTGCGACGTTATCTGGGGTCACTTCCTAGCAGCCCTGGGGAACATGTGCCCCTTGCCACTGGCTCCCAGGCCAATATTTTTGCCTTCGGGCCCCCTTGCTTCTTCTAACCCACTTGGTGCCTGGTGGGCAGCAGACTGGAGCCCCAGGCCTGAGTGTGGCTGGGAGAGAGGGATTAGAGGAGGGAAAACCCAAATCTGTGAGTGTAAATAGAAAAAAGAAAATATTTCACATGCACAGTAAAGCAGTCACACAGTGGCCCTCCTTCAGGGGCTACGTCTCCTCCTCGCACATGACTCCAGGAAGTCATTTTGTGCCATGGCGTGGAGTTGACCCCAGTCCTGACCCCATGAACCCCATTCCATGGAGACAGGGATCCTGGGGAATGTGGCCCCCTAGGATCCACATCTCTTCTTTGGGCCCATGTAGCGATTTGGGGCAGGAGCTGGCAGTGAAGTCCATTTAGGGCCGCATTACCAGCCAGCAGCTGAGGCAGAAAGTGTCCTACAGCTCCATTTCCCAAGGCAGTGGTCTTCAGACATTTCACTTGGGAATCTCCTGAAAGAATTTCAACAGTGGCCAGGCGCGGTGGCTCACGCCTGTAATCCCAGCATTTTGGGAGGCCCAGGTAGGTGGATCACTTGAGGTCAGGAGTTCAAGACCAGCCTGACCAACATGGAGCAACCCCATCTCTACTAAAACCACAAAATTAGCCAGGCATGGTGGCGCCTGCCTCTAATCCAAGCTACATGGAAGGCTGAGGCAGAAAAATCTCTTGAACTCGGGAGGCGGAGGTTGTAGTGAGCCAAGATCGCACCATTGCACTCCAGCCTGAGCAACAGAGGGAGACTCCATCTCAAAAAAAAAAAAAAAAAAAAGAATTCCAAAAGCCCATGTGCTCCCTTGCACATTTTTAAGTTGACATTGAACATTTTCATCAGAATTATAAGTTAACCCAGGCTGAGTAGCTCATGTGTGTAATCCTAGCATTTTGGGAGGCCAAGGTGAGCAGATCTCTTGAGGCCGGGAGTTCGAGACCAGCCTGGGCAACGTGGTGAAACCTGGTCTCTACAAATAAATACAAAAACTAGCTGGACATGGTACCGTGTGCCTGTAGTCCCAGCTACTCAGGAGGCTGAGGTGGGAGGATCACCTGAGCCTGGAAGGTCAAGGCTGCAGTGAGCCAAGATCGAACCACTGCACTTCAGCCTGGGTGACAAGGGGAAACCTCCGTCTCAAAAAAAAAAAGTATAAGTCATTACAAAGGATATAATTTCTGGCATATTAGAAATACTGATATTTTAATGCAAAGCTATTATGTAATATACTCTTGAGACATATCCTATGAAATATGCCACCCTATTACCATCATCTACCTTTAAAAAAATGAACAAGCAAAAAAGATACACCTCCTTTCATAATTATATATTTACATTGTTTCCTTCTTCCTGGAGCTTATATTTCTATTTCACTTCCTGCCCCCAGAATTTCAGCCCAGTGTAACAGTACTTTTAATTTTCAGAAGTCTTTTATTGATTACCTTGTCATATTTTTCTGCCACAAAAAATGATATGTGAGTTTGAATCATTTTAAATTTCTTGTGAGAAGAAACCTAAATTAAATTTTCTCCTGGAATAAATTATCAAGATAATTCTTAGTAGCACCATTTGGTTAAAACAGCACAAATGTGTCCTATTTTAATAAATGTTCAACATAAAAGTACAATCAATTTTATTGAGAATACATCTCAACGAGCTAGATGGGACTTGCTCGTTTCAATTAGTGAATGAATCCATTAATGAATGTTACTTCCTGCCAGACTGAGATCGGATTCTGCATTCATTTCATTCCTGTTTATCATATTTTGTTGATGAGAAGGTTGAGAAACCATGTTCGCATAAATAAGGAAATGAGACTAGATGTCACTCAGTGACTTGAACTCCTTCCAAGTTATTTGCCAGGAATCTCAAGGTGCTCTGCTAAGAAAGAATTACTTCTCATGATATCCTGGCTGACAGTTCTTTTAAGTTGTTCTTCAATTTTGTTGAAAGCCTTGGTTACCCAGTCATTAGCCATATTTTCTTTCACAAGACCTATACCAATATCTCAAATTGTCCTTTTCTTCATGTCCCCAGAATACTTTTACCTGGCAGCAAAGCACTTTATGAGGACTTAGAATGAGCAAGATATGTTCCTTTCAAAAGGGAGAAAAGTGGCTGGGTGCAGTGGCTCATGCCTGTAATCCCAGCACTTTGGGAGGCTGAGGTGGGTGGATCACCTGAGGTCAGGAGTTCAAGACCAACCTGACCAACAAGGTGAAACACCATCTCTACTAAAAATATAAAAAGTAGCCTGGTGTGGTGGCATATGCTGGTAATCCTAGCTACTCGGGAGGCTGAGACAGGAAAAGTGCTTGAACCCAGGAGGCAGAGGTTGCAGTGAGCCGAGATCGTGCCACTGTGCTCCACTCTGGGTGATGGAGCAAGACTCCATCTCAAAAAAAAAAAAAAGGAGAAAAGCATTGTGGCCAGAGAAGCAGATCTTCAGCCACTGTCTCACAAAAATGATTTTAAGGCAATGTAGACCTGGAGGCTGAAAATGGATTTCTTTAAAACTGTCAATACTCAGTCTTCACGTGCATCTAGCGGAACCTGCTCCCCTGTTTGAAGACTGCTGTCTTAGGCTCATCGGAGGCATGATTGCCTGAAGCGTGATGAGGTTCAAATGTGGCTCTGGCCATGTGGCCATAGGCAAGCTTCTTCACCTCTCTGGGCCTCAGTTTCCTTATCTTCAAAAGAATAATCAGGGTGCCTTCCACATGGAAGGTTGTTGAGGGTTAAGAAGATGGTCCTTGGCACAGGGCTGGGCACCTGGGTAAGTGCTTGGTGAAGGGTAGTTCCCAGCTTCTCCTCAACCTGAGGCAAGCAGGGACCCAGGAGCGCTGCACCCTCCCCATGCTCCCTGTCCCAGCTCCTCCTGCGGGCCTGCCCCCTCCTCCGTGGGAGGAGACCGCACCCTCTGCAGCGCGCTCATGCCCGCCCGTCTGTGTTTGGTCTCTGGCAGGTGCGGTGATGCTGTTCCCCGGAGGTAACCGGCCTGTTGGAGGAGAGAGACCCCGTACCCGGCTCGTGTATTTATTATCTCAGTGACCTCCTGCTAGTACCTGCCCTCTATTTATTAGCCAGCTGTTTCCCTGCTGAATGCCTCGCTCCCTCCAAAACGAGGGGCAGGGAGGAACGGGACCCTCAGGAATTCAGTGCCTTCAACAACGTGAGAGAAAGAGAGAAGCCAGCCACAGACCCTTGGGAGCTTCCATTGGGAAGAAGCAAGACATGTTGCCGCATGATGGGCAAGCTAGGCCCCAGAGGCCCTGGGAGTCTCCAGGGGCCTGGAGAAGGAGAGAATGGGTCCCTGCTGCCTGTTCTTGGGCCTTGGGCTCTGCACAGACAAGCAGCCTTTGCTTTCGGAGCTCCTGTCCAAAGAAGGGATGAGGAGCCTGCTGCGGCCACCACCGCCTGGCTGGTGGGAAGGCGGGCATTGGGCAGAGGGGATCCAGCCACTTCCCCCTCTTCTTGGCAGTAGCTCTTCACCCTGAAGATTGGAACGTTCAGCTCTGGAGAACCGTGGTTGCCTGGGGGCTTTTGCCACTCCTTGTCCCCCGTGATTTCCCCTCACACTTTGACACCTGCCTGTGCTGGGACATTGTTCTTTCCAGACAAGGTACCACCATCCTGCCCCCTCTAAAAGACATGTGCAAGCCGGGTGCAGTGGCTCACACATGTAATCCCAGAACTTTGGGGGGCTGAGTCGGGCAGATCAAGAGGTCAGGAGTTCGAGACCAGCCTGACCAATGTGGAGAAACCCTGTCTCTACTAAAAATACAAAAAATTAGCCAGGTGTGGTGGTGTATGCCTGTAATCCCAGCTACTTGGGAGGCTGAGGCAGGAGAATCGCTTGAACCCGGGAGGCAGAGCTCAAGGTGAGCCAAGATTACACCATCGCACTCCAGCCTGGGTAACAAGAGCGAAACTCCATCTCAAAAAAATAAAAAAGAGACATGTGCAGAGTGAGCCCCGGGTCGAACAAAGAGCTGCCTGGATGAGGAGCAGCCCAGCCAATGGGGATGAGGTCACCAAGGGAGGAGCCTGTGTGTCCCAGCTGAAGGTGGTGGCAGGGGAGCAGGTTGCCCGAGGGCCCTGGCACTCCCACAAGCTGCCCCTGCAGGGCCGTCTTGACTGCCAAGCCAGAGTCTCCTGAATAAAGTATTCTAGTGTGGAAACAGCTGATCTGGGGGGTGTGTCTGCTCAGGCGCTGAGCGTCAGCCAGAAATGGAAGCAGGGCAGACCCAGGGATGGGGGCATAACAGGAAGAGCATAGCACCTTCTCCGAGGCTCAGTTTCCTTATCTCAAAAGCCTCGCTCTGGCAACGAGAGGGCATGGCACAGCTCATGACAACATGTTAGCTTTTTCTTTCCTTCCTCCTTTTGATAGTTGAAGACACTGAGGCCCAAGAAGGTGAAATGGCTGATGGAGAGTCAAGAGCACAGAAGTGAGGGTCAGAGGCCTGGCTTTGTAACTCACCGAGTGACACTGGGCTTCCCTCTGCCTCTGCGTTTCATCTCTGACCTGAGGAGCCTGGCTAGATGGCTCTTCTGGCTTTGCACATTTCTAGTGGGGCCCAGGCTCAAGTCTCAGTGGGCCTGGGTGGTCATTGAGACTGTTCCTATAGAGGCCACTTCAAGGCTGCCCTGGGGGTCATCCAGCCTGCTCCTACAGTACCCTGGGGTCGCCCTTCCCCTAACGAGGAGCTCCCAAGATATAGTTTTGGTTCCAAAGTTGAGGAGGGGCCACTTTTTAGCAGCACAAGAGTGAAACTTTTCCAGCCCTCCTGGGAGACATCCTGGCTGTGTCTCAGGGTGTTGAATGGCAGCATCTCCAGCCTGCTCGGGCTGCCGCATGGACACTGGGACCAGCAGATGCTGCCCTGATTTCTCTGCCTTTTACTCCCAATTTCTTCTGTCTTCCTCCCCAGTGCTTTGGCATTAAAAAAAATCTTCCTTTCCTTTTTTTTTTTTTTTAAATATCTTTTCTTGAAACAGAGTCTCACTCTGTCACCCAGGCTGGAGTGCAGTGGCACAATCCCAGCTCACTGCAACCTCCACCTCCCAGATTCAAGCGATTCTCCTGCCTCAGCCTCCTGAATAGCTGGGATTACAGGCACCCGCCACCACAGCTGGCTAATTTTTGTATTTTTAGTAGGGTTGGGGTTTCACCATGATGGCCAGGCTGGTCTTGAACTCTTGACCTTGTGATCTGCTCCCCTCAGCCTCCCAAAAAGCTGGGATGGCAGGTGTGAGCCACTATGCCAGGCCTATTTTTTTAAATCCAAACCATTTACCAAACTCCCATCTGCTTCTGACCTGCAAGGGGTGTGTGTGTGTGTGTGTGTGTGTGTGTGTGTGTGTGTGTGTGTGTGTATCTTTGATGTTGTATGTATTGAGGGAATAGAAGTTCCTCCATTCTCTCCTCAGCCTCACTTTCTCATTTGAAGCTGCTCAGGAGAAACCCACAGGGACCCAGGGGGACAGGGGCCTGCCTGGGGCTTGGAGGGGAACTGAGGATGTCCAGTGGACTGGGGTGGCCCTGCTGAGGCAGCTGTCCTTAGTGCCCTGTTCACTGAGGCTTGGGGTGCCTGCAGGATATGCTGGTCAGAATGTGCTTCTGGCTGTGGTCACAGATGGCTGTGGGTCAGCCCCAGGAGACATACTTCACCAAAGAAATGCATTTCCTCTCCTGCTTTTCCTTCTTTGGCTGCAGCTGTTCTGAGCCATTGCCTTTGACCCACTGTGAGCTGAGAACACCCATCCCCTCCGATTGTTCAGGCCTCTAGCTCAGCCCTGAAGACCCCAACCTAGGTCTGGTAGCATCTTCAAGGCTTTTGGCTCCATGAAGTCATCCACACGGCGGGCAGCCTCTCAACTCAGGCCAGTGACCCTTGTAGAGAGCAAGACAGAAACCAGAAAAGCTCCTGGAGGCAGAAGCAAAACTCCACATCCACGGGCAGGGGCCTCACAGCAGGAACAGGTAGGAAGGAGCCAGCTGGCCCACTTGGCTGTTTTGGCAGCTGTTCCAGCCATTAGGTCCTGAAGGGCCCTTTCCATTTGCTTGTCATCTATCTGTGGAGCAACCTCTATGTCCTAGACACTGACTAGGCATTGATGATCCAGTGGGGACAAACACACAGGACCCCGCCCTCGTGGACCCCACATGCGAGGGGAGAGACAGTCCATGCTTCGGTGCCGAAGGGTGCTAGCTGGGCCTTTTCTGCTGCTCAAATTGGTGGCCAGACTCAGAGCTAAGGAAAAAGGACCCTGAATACCCCATATTCTAAAACAAAGGAATCATTTGGGACTGCGCACAGTTGCCTACAGGATTTATTAAGAGATGGTTGAAGCAATTCTGTTATGCTCCCAAATCTCCCAGCACCCCCTTCTTCAGTCTCCATAAGCAGAAGACCAGGAAAGGGGAAGGAAGAGAGAGGGAGGTGGGATCACGGGAGTCCTGGGGTGCTGGCTCCCTCCTCTCCTTTCCCTGGAGCTGGATTTGCTGTTGAGATCAGCTCATGTGCTGTCTGGGCAGGGAGGTTGGGGGAGGGCAGGATTCAAGAGGCACAGATGGATGGGGCAGGTACTCCTTGGGGCACCCAGTGATCGTTGCCCATGGGTCAGGTGGACATGGCAGAAAGGGAGTGTCCTTGAGCTGTCTTGTCCATGTCCTACCAAGAGGGAGGCCTGCAGGTGTGCAGACCCACAGTCGATAGGCTGTGGGGTGGAGGTTGGGTCAGTGGCTGAGTAGGGGGTGACAGGTATAAAGCTGAAGGGACCTCTCACATCAGGAAACAGTGGTGCGGGGTGGCCCTGTGGTGAACCCACAAAAGAGCTACCATCTGGATGCCATCATGCCAGGCACATTCATAGCCAGAGAAGAAATGGCCACAGCTGACAGGGACTTTCCTGAAAGCCCTCCCTCCTCATCTGTGTGAAAGAAAAGGGGAGAGAAAAGGAGGAGGAAGAGGAGAGAGAGAGAGAGAGAGACAGGAGGGAGGGTACAAGGGCAAACTACACTCCTCCCCACTCCCTGGGCCAAATCCAGGCCCTGCCTGGGGGAGGGAAGAGGTTAGTCTTCAGTTAGATGGACCAACCTAGATGGGGCTAGGCCTTGAATAAGCTAAAGCAACAGGACCAGTAGAAGGTCTGCCCGAGATACTGTTACAGGACAGGAAAAGGAGAACTAACATAGTTTATCTAGATGCAGTGATGGAAAAAGATTGGTTTGTTTGTACCCTATAGTCTTCTCAATAAGCAAGTTACCCATATCAACAAATGCATTAATAAGAAAATGTCTTGCTGCCAAAATGTGTTCTGGCTTGTTAGAGATGGTCTTGAATTATTTTACACTCTGCCTCTTGAGAGGTGAGGTCTCTTCCCTCTCTTTGAATCTGAATTGGTCTGGGTCTGCTTTGATCAGCAGAAGAGACCGTATACTTGTTTCAAGCATAGCTTTCAAGAGGACTAGCAGCTTCTGCCTTGGACTGTTGGAACCCTACGCTATCATATAAGAAGTCCAACTACCCTGGGGCCACCATATTGGAAGGAAGCTCAATCTCAAGCGGCCATATATAGAGATGTGGAAAGAGAGAGAGAAAGAGAGAGAAGTGCTCAGTCAACCCCAAGCTATTCTAACCCCCAGCCATTACAGTCATCTTAGCAGATGCTCCAGATTTTATTGAGCAAATACAAGCTATATCTACTGTGCCCTGTTTGATTTCCTTGGTGCACAGAATCATAAAATATGATAATAACAAATTGATTTGAGGCTGGTTATTATGCAGCAATAGGAAACAAGAACAGAAAATAAGGAAAGGTAAAGAGATAGCATTGAAGGGAAGATACTGTAGGTCAGGAGATTGTGGATGGTATCTCTGTGGAAATGACATTGATGGTAAAGTTTGAAGGACAAGGAGTCGTTCATGTGAAAATCAGGGATAAGAGCACAAGGAACCCCGGAGTGGCTGGAGCATGATGGGCAGGGAGTGGGGATATGGGGTGTAATGTTGGAAGTAGGCAGGGGCCAGACCATAAAATGCTTTGCAAGTCAGGGTAAGGAGTTCAAATTTTGTTATAATGTGAGGCAAGCCACTGCAGAGTTTCAAACAGGGAAATGAAATGACACTAGGTACATTTTTTTTGTTTTTGAGGCAGAGTCTTGCTCCGTCACCCACACCGGAGTGCAGTGGTGCAATCTCCACTCACTGCAACCTCTGCCTCCTGGGTTCAAGTGAGTCTTGCGCCTCAGCCTCCTGAGTAGCTGGGACTGCAGGTCCACGCCACCAAAACTGGCTAATTTTGTATTTTTAGTAGAGATGGGGTTTCGCCATGTTGACCGGCTGGTCTCAAGCTCCTGACCTCAAGTGATCCGCCCACCACAGCCTCCCAAAGTGTTGGTATTACAGGTGTGAACCACCACACCCGGCCATTAGGTGCATTTTGAACAATCACTCTGCCTACTATGTGGAAAATGGTCTCTAGGAGTGCAAAATTCAGAGTACAA